ATTGTAACCAAACTTGTTTGTCTGAGCGATTGGCTGAAGTAGGACTGAGTGGACTTGTAGGCGCTAAAGTTTTACATTGTTTTATTTTTGAATGCAGGGTTTTTTATACATAATTCTACATTTGTAAATTCAACTTTCATGACAAAGAGATTGCACTACAGTACTTGTATTAGGTGAATTGAAAAATACTATTCCTTCATTTTTAAAGTGCAAATATTTGTAATAAAAAATAAATATAAAGAGAGCACTATACACTTTGTGTTGTAATTGAAATCAATATATTTGAAAATGTAGAAAACATCCAAAAATATTTAAATATATGGTATTCTATTATTGTTTAACAGCACAATTAATCACGATTAATTTTTTAATCACATGATTAATTGTGATTTTTTTTTATCGCTTGACAACCCTAGTTTTTATACTGTGCTCTTCACCATAATATCTGAGTGTCTAATACCACATACGTGGGGTAGCACTCATGGAGCCATATCCTGCAGCATTTAGAGAAAATCTGAAGTGAATGGGCTTTTTCCTAAGTAAAGGCTGAGTAAAGACTGCAGGATCTGGTCTTAGGTTTGTTCTATACCCCACAACTGGAACATTAGTTATCACTGATGTGATTAAATTTCAGATCCAAATAAAAAAGAGCCACGCTGCAAATCCCAGGAAAAAAAAACTGGTTAATAACCCAAACACTGACACAACCAGTGCTAGGGTTCCCTAAAAAGATACTTACCTAATAAGCATATCTCATGCTTTCACTGTTGTAAACCTCATTCCCCACCCCCACTTTTGGTCATTCCTTTCTGTGCTTTGTCTAACTTAGGCCCTGAGATACCTACTGGAGTGTAAGAGTCACTTGCATAGATCCCTATGCAGGATTGGGCCCTAAGAATGTAAACTTCTTGGGATAGGGACCTGTCAATGTTCTCTCTCTAAGCATGCATGCTGATGAGGCTAGATACAAATTCCATGATCATCAGTAATATGATGGCATATATTAGATTCCTGCATGGTAAAAATGTTGAAAAGTGCTGTATGTTAAATATAAACTACATGATGATACACTAGTGGATGCATGTTCAAAGTATCAAAGTTTTTAAATAGTTTTACTTCAAGCCACTGCCTAACAAATAAAGCAGAGACTTGTGCCTACTTGCACGTACAGTCCTTGCATATCACAGGTAAATCCTATACCTACCTACATAGATAGACATAATATGTTAAAAGTCAGTAAAGAGCATGAGAGGCAAAACATTACAATATTCATTTTAGACCCTAGTCTGATAGTCTTAAGGAGGTTTAGATTCATTTGCGCTGGCAGGGAGCTGAATTGGATGATATGAGAGGTCTCTCCCATCTCTTGACTTCAGAGATTCAGGCTATGTTCATTTCAATGCAGCTATGAAAAAGCAGACTTCAGTGCAGCTGTTTCTCTCCTCCTCTAAAGCTTCTCAAGAGAAACTGCTCCATCCAGGCGGCCGCCTGAAAATGGTTAAGCAGGGGGTGAGGTTGGGTGCGCATGAAAAGCATCCTTATAACAAGCAAGGACCTTCCCACTTCATTCTGCGGCGCGGCTCTGCCTGCCCCCAGCAGACAGCACAGCCCCACACAGAGGCAAGTTTGCTGGGGAATCAAGGGGCTGGAAGCCTCTGCCAAGTGCCTGCTCCTTACAAATGATTCTCCAGGAGCCCCCCCGCCCTCCAGCACCCCCACCCACCGTGCGAGCCCTCCTGTGCAGCGGGGATGGGAGGCGAACGTGGCTGGCTCCTGCGCTGAGCAGGGGATTTGTGCAGAGAAGCAGTGGCCCGTGTGCGCCTCCTGTTCCCGGTGTAATTTGCAGCCAATCATCAGTAGGTGTCCACATCCCTGCATCCTCCTCACCTCGGAGCCAATCACCCCCTCCCCTCCTCTTCTCTCTTCCCTCCCCTCCCCCAGCCACCACCACCCGCACATACACACACACAAACAGAGAGAGAGAGAGGGAGAGAGAGACTCCCTGGCTCCCTCCCTCCCTCGCACACAGCGACTGGAGACGGACCGAGAGCAACGCGCAGGGAGAGGAGACCACCGAGCACACAGCCAGGCGCTCTCACACATACACGCACACACATACTCACCCAGTGCCTGCTCTTTCCTCCCCCCCTTCCTCCTCCTCCTCCTCCTCCTTTTCTCTCTGCAACAAGGGGGGGAAAGCCACTTACAGGTATTTGTCTAGTGGCTCGGCGTCTTTATTTTTTCCCCACCCACCCCCCTTCACAGTTTGTTTACAAGTATCAAAGTTGTATTTGAGGAGCTGCCAAGACACATCTGGATATTTCTTCTTCTTTGTGCTAGGGAGTGATGTGCAACTAATTAAAGGCAGACAGGCTGGTAGCGTCTGCAATTTCCAGCCCCCCAAATAAAGAGACTGGTAAGTGATTGTTTGGTTCTCTTGCTCTCTCTTTTTGTTTTTCCTTCTGGGTTTTTTTTATTTTGGGGTTTCTTTGGTTGGGTTTTGGGGAGGGGGGATTGGTTTTGTTCCTGTCCTCTAGGATCGTAAAAGTAGATTAATACGAGACTTGGGCAATAAAAGGCGCCGCTGTATTAATTTATTAATTAATCTGCACCCGCCCCTCCTCCTGAATGTTAAATATGACCTTTGATCTCTATGTCTCTGGCAGACCAGACATGGAATATTGAACATGTACAGGCACATTGGCTTAAGCAGGAACCAAATCATGCAGTCTGGATAGCTATTTTTATGATTATTTTTAAATGTGGACTATAGTTAAGAAAAAATCAATAGCTGCGTCTTAGGTACCCTTTTCATGCTCCAGAGATGCATCGATTAAACAATAATGACCTGGTTGGTGGGCACCATCATTTTCCCCTTTCTGATGGCAATAAACCTTGAAGGGGGATAGGGGTGGGGGATTGGAGAGGTAGCAAGAAAAGAAAGATTTTGTGCAGAATAGACACTTTAATACTATGAAAATAAAGCATAAAATGCGTGTATTATTTAATATATCGAATTAAAGGCTAAAATGTTAACAAATTTCCCTCCCCAGTTGTGTGGATTTCCTACACATGGTTGGCAAAACTAGTTTTATTGAGTAGTTGTTATTATGGACATGCGGTTACAGTTTCATTTATAGAAACTAGAGGTCTTTGCTATGTGCAAATTCTTAGCCTTCTTTTCCAAGTCTATGTTTAGCCTGGAGCTTTTGGGGGCACCCTTTTTATTGCCATCAGACCCCTGAAGGGAGCAATAGTCTCAGTTTTTCCTGACGTGAAAATAGAGGTGGTTCATGTGTGATTAGGGTCTTTCTGTGATTGAAAGATGCATGCTAGTTCCTAATCCAGCCAAGGGTGAGGTTCTTTATCTAGATTTATTCTACCATAATCTGGATTTGTTTACATAAACCCTGCTTTTTAGAATATAACATCAGTAGATGATGAAGTTTTTGCACTTGGTAAGTTGGGCTATAAACGGTTCATTAATCTAATTATGATCCTAATTACTATAATTGATAACCATTTGAACTATACATATTTTAGTCTGAAACAGTACTGGGCCACATTTGGTGTCCCGGAAGTAAAGGTTTCTGATCAATATATATAAATCTAAAAAAATGCTAGAATAAGTCTAAAATAAATATCCAGGTGAAGAATCTAGAAAACAGAGACTGATAATAAAATTGTGTTTTAGTTAGGTTTTGTTTTACTTTCTAAAGACAGAAATAGTGTATCTTTTTCTCTATTATAAACTAAAATATCCCTCTCCACATCATAAGAATGGCCTATGAGAAATAAAAGGCATAAAAATCCTTATTTCTGCATTAAACTTTTAAAAAATAAAATAATAAGAATAACAATGAATCTGTCAATCCCACTAATGGTTAATTCAGCAGGTAACTATATACCTGATGGAGTCTTTTTTTTTTTTTTTTTTATAAAACAATTTATATTCCTGTAATGCCTGCAGGAGGTGCTTTAAAAAAAAAAAACAGTCTTGTGCAGCCCCCATGGCTTGGAGATGGAAAAGAGCCTCCAGAGGAACTGGGGATGTTCAGCCCAGCTGCAGGCTCTGAGGTCAAAAACTGTGAAATTGCCTGGCTTAAATATTTTTATCTCCTCTCCTTTTTCATTTTTTAAAAACAAGCAGAACACCACCTTCTCTACCCCACAAGCACCACCACCATCAAATGGCTTGTACTATTGAGATCTGTCCTTGGTACATAGAATTAAGACCCTGACAGAACCAGCTGTGCTGGGATTCAAACTAATGACCGTCAGACACAGAAGGACACTGTGGCAGCTGGTAGTTCTTCCCCCCTCCCCATTTTTTTCTGCCTCTTTAGTTCAGCTTGTATGTGGGCAGGTTCTTAGTATTGTGTGTTGCTTACAGTTTATTCTCTAATGCATTGTGGACTTTCTCAGTACTTCATATCCTGTTCATTTGCTTCTTCAAGCCATCGCTGCTTTCTGCTTTACTTGACATTTGCATGCCCTGGCAACACTTGTTCACACATTTCATATGCCCTCTGGTTATAGGTATTAGAGCCCTTGCACCCATCGTTTGCATGTCTTTAGCACTCCAACTGGTCCCTTTCCCTAGGCATTTGTCAGCGCCCCTCCCCAGGTATGCCCAGTTATTAATGCGTTTACTCAGGGGGAGGTGAGGCAGGATAGACCGGGAGCGTGGCGGTGGGCTCGTGGCTTTATTGGTTCGCGTGCAAACGCTCTGGAATTGCTGCTGAGTGTGTCTGTGTGACTGTTTCCTGTGCCTTGACATCTTTTTGGAAATGACTTTCTTTATTTTAGTTGTCACAGTTCCTGGGAGAATGCAAACGAAGAGGCTGCCTGACAATTTGCCGTCTGCAGAAATGTACCCCAAAGAGGATTAACACTCCCCTCCCCATCCACCCAGCACCCGACCCCATCCATCCCACCCAGACGACGGCTCCTGTGGCCCTCCGCCCTGCCCTACCCTGCCCCTCACTGGTGTCCCCCCCCTCCACCCTTTCTCCCCCTGTCACCCCAGCATCCCATTGCCACCATGAACACCAACGTGTGCGTGGAGAGCGGCCCCAACCCCGAGGCCCCGGGGCTGCCCAAGGATAACCACCTGCCCGAGGGGGCCCTGAACAGCCTTGTGGATTACAACTCGGAGATGGAACGCTACCGCTCCTTCGCCACCTTCTACAAGACCAACGGGGGCGCCTTCCCCCAGGCGGCCAAGATCGCTCGCATCACCACCCCCATCTTCCCCAGCGCCGCCGCCGCCGCCGCCGCCCGCATCGGCATGTCCCCCTGGAACTGCGATACCGCCACGGCCGCCGCCGCCACCGCCATGCTGTGGGGCAGCGGCGGCGGCGGCAGCAATACGGTCCCAGGCGGCGCGGCTGGTGCAAGGAAATCCTCCTCCTCCGCCGCCGCCTCCGCCTCGCTCCACGCCGGCAGGAGCAGCATGCACCATCGGAACGAGTCCCAGCGGCTGGGCAAGCCTGGCTGCGCGCCAGCCGAGCAGCCCGCCTTGCAAATGGCAAATAATAATTTCCTCTCCACCTTATCCCCCGAACACTGCAGACCTTTGGCTGGGGAATGCATGAACAAGCTCAAATGCGGCGCTGCTGAAGCAGAGATAATGAATCTCCCCGAGCGCGTGGGGACTTTTTCCGCTATCCCGGCTTTAGGGGGCATCTCATTACCTCCAGGGGTCATCGTCATGACAGCCCTTCACTCCCCCGCAGCAGCCTCAGCAGCCGTCACAGACAGTGCGTTTCAAATTGCCAATCTGGCAGACTGCCCGCAGAACCATTCCTCCTCCTCCTCGTCCTCCTCCTCCCTGGGAGCCGCCGGAGGAGGGGGGGCGGGGGGAGGAGGAGGAGGCGGGGGAGGAGGGGCAGGCAACCCTGCCAAGAAGAAGAGGAAAAGGTGTGGGGTCTGCGTGCCCTGCAAGAGGCTCATCAACTGTGGCGTCTGCAGCAGTTGCAGGAACCGCAAAACGGGACACCAGATCTGCAAATTTAGGAAATGTGAAGAGCTAAAGAAAAAACCTGGCACTTCACTAGAGGTCAGAGGAGATGATTTCTTTTTCCCCAGCCTCCCTCCGTCCCTGCTCAACCCCCTCCCCCCACCCCTCCAGTGCTTCTTGTCTAGCTTCAAGATGCAGCATCCCTTTTCTGAAGCCTCATTCAGGTTGTAAGGGTTATTGCACATGTGACACTGGCTTCCCTCACTGGCACCTGGTATGAACCCACCCTGAAAGTAGAGGGTGGGGGATGCTCTTAAATAAGAGTGTGAAGGGGAGGGGGGCGGGGAATCCCTTTGACATTTTTATTTTGGTCCCTGGAAAAATCACTATGGTTTCTTATAGTAACTAACATCACAGATGATGAATTAAAATCTTCGTTAAGAGGGTTCTTTAACACCTCTGCACGTGCTGGGCACATCCACATTGATGTGAACAATCTCTGTATGCTTATCTGTTATTTTAAAGAGTTCTGTCTGGTGACATGGAACAGAGTTTTACTTATATGAAACCAGGGGTGGAGGGTAAACACTTTTAAACCTGAAAGCAAATGGGGTGTTTATTTATTTTTTCTAACTTAATTGTTGCCATTATGAGATCTCTGTGCTTTATCTACTGTGTTTTCTATCTGACTGGTAATTATCTTTAATTTTTGGTGGAGAGGAGGGGGAAGAGAGCAGGAAAAGAATGTAGCTGAACACCTGACTTTTTAGTGGTCAGCGGTTCAGAACAAAGTAATAGCTAGTTATTTTCAGGGTGACTGATGGCAATTTGATTCAAGAAAGACAATTAGTCACAGAGTTAAATAGTTTGGTGACATGTGCTACAAATTCTTTTTGGCAATGCATTTTACAACATAATCCTTTTTTTGGTGTACTAAAATGTGATGTAAAAAATAAGCACAGGTATGACTGAAATTATGTCTGATTGAACTGTATATACATTTATTTTTACAATGTGTCCTCAGAACTGACAAATGTATTGAATATCACAAAGCTGTAAAGACAGGTTTTCAAGTTTGCTAGACATACAAAAGACAGACAGAGATGATGTTGTGGAAATTTCAGTTCATGTATTGAGTACAAGAGACAATGATAAAAATACAAAAATATATGTAAAATGGCTATTAGGTGATATTTTTAGACAAAGGAAAACAAGACAGAGGAAAGACTAGTAATCATATGTAATCCCTTGTCATTATTAAAATTATAGTGTTGCTGGTTAGATGCACATATCAGACGTGTCTGAAGGTGTCGGGGGGAATGGTAGATTTAGTACAGAGGAGTACTGTGTATACTGGGTGACAGATTAAGATTTGCAGTCACAGAAAATAGCAACAAAGTGAGAAACTGCAACTTTCCAGTTTGCATGTGTTTTGTGGTTATTTTCTAAATCATTGGTTGCAGGAGTTTTCTCCAACAAGGGGTGGGGTCTTGGGGTAAAGAAAAACAATCCTTCAGTTTGTTTGACACCAAATAAATGAATACAGCCTTATTGATATTAATATTGCCACTGAACTGAAGGAAATTTTGGTTTTTTATATTAAAATTTTGCCATCGTGATTTATTGTATTATATTGAGTCCCATCAAAATATCATGTTCATTCCTCCTTGCAAGAGTGAACTATCCTTGTTGAAAGTTTGGTTATTAGCCCATTTTTATTACATTTTCTTCAGCTGCTTTTTGTAAGTAATCCAGTATCACAGAAATACAGCAAATTATATGGATTTTTTCTGGTGCTAGACATCAGCTGTTAACTTTTGATTTCACTTACTGTTTTTGGTCAACAATATACTTCTGTTATATTTGTAGAAAGTTTTCAAAGAATGTTTATAATCACCCACTCTGCAATAAACAGATAATGCTGAATTTTAATATTGATCCACAATTTAAAGAGAGATTACTTTTTTTCAGTGGCACTTGTTCGTTCAGCAACGTTGAACTTTGTTATACTACTTAGGCAAAAAGTTCTTTTTCATTAGGCTTGTAAACCAAGATGCCTCTGTGGTTTATTATTTATGATAAATGATAGATTCCGATGGAATCAGAAAGTGAAATATTTCTAGAGGAGATTAGTTTATATGTTATCAGACTTTTGTATGAGTTTGTGTGCATTTCTAAACACATTTCACGAATTTCCTTGCTCCTGACAAAGGTGTTCTACAGCCTTAAAAATTGTTCAAGCATGTTATGAGAATGCTACCCATTAAAATTGTTTAACTGCTGTGGCTAGTAAAAAAACCATGGTTTTATTAGCCACTTGTGTACTTTCATAACCACCTGCCTTCACTGCTTTTCTTCATTTTTTCTCTCTCTCTCGCTGTCACACACACCTCTGCTGCTATATTATGACTGGAAGGAAGCAGATTTCTCTCTCCAGCTGTAGAGATATCAGTAGACGTTCATTCTCCGTAGGTCATATCCAGTCACAAAGCATGTCATGGCGTGTGGCTAATATCCTTACAGGCATGTTATTTGTCAGTAGGAAAGGAAAAGTTCCCAATTTGGATAACTCTCTATTTTTGGTCATTTTTCTTCTTTCTTCTTCTTTTTTAATTAAATAATAAAGAATGCCAGCATGACTGCCTCAAGCACATGTGCAGCAACACAGTTCTGGTTGTAAGGCAACCAGCTGGAAGCATGTCAGAGAGTGACAGGGCCTACATGACTGAACTGAAACAGCAGTCGTGGTTGCAGGTGGGTGAGCATAGTCTGCTTGCTGAACTGGCTTCTCAAGCTAGCTTGTCTTGTGGTCTTTGTAAATCAACAGATCTCCTTAGGTGATACACTATGACCTAGGTAGGCACCTTACTGAGACAATATAATAAGAATCAAGGGTTCAAGTTCCATTATATACATATGGAAATTGTGGTTGTCAGTTACATACAAAATATAAAGGATGTCGTCTACAAAATATGGAAATGACTAAAGATTGGAAGTGAAACTATGCAAAAAAGTCAGTAAATTGGTTGAAACCACTGAATTCATCTTTCTTTTTCCCCCTTAAATCTGTTCTTGTCCTGGTGCAATGAAGGCATATGATATAACTCTCAAGGTTAGTACACTAAGTTTAAAACAGATTCTCATTAATGCTTTCAGATTACCTGACCCTTACATTTTTAATTAAATGCTTCCCTTCCAGCCTTTTTTTCAAACTGATTTTATTTTTCCATGTTTTTCTTATATTACCTGTGCTCTAGTATTTTTAACAGAATTTTATCATTACTAGGTGACTTTATGTATAGTATTAATAAATGTATGAAAATAAAATTGATGCCATATATCACTCTGTATACTTGTGTATGTATACACTGTGTTCATTTAGATTTACAGTTAAAGAGGCATAACCATTTTTAGTCCAGAGAGATTACTTATTTTTCTCCCATTAGTACACGTTTATATAACGCCTACTGTAAGTTATAAAGACTAAGAGCCAAATCTTACTTTGTGCCTTTCTCACTCTTTGAAGTCAATAGGCCTGATTATGATTTCACTAGTTAGTTTTATGCTGGTGTAACTCCATTGATTTCAGTTGCACCACTCCTGATTTAAACCAGTGGAATATCAAAATCAAGCACAGAGTCACTCAACTGAGTAAGAGTGGGATTTGAGCATAACATTAAGTACTTTTCATACTTGGGCATAGTGTTACAATATTCAGTGTAACGTACTTTATTTGTAAAAGATACATGTTAATTAATTGAGTTACTATTGAAAAAAATAAGCATACTTATTTTCCATTCAAAAACAAGTTTTCAATATTAAAATTTAAATATGAAGGGCCTAATCCTGTTCCCTTTGAACTCAGTGTGGTTTTGAGATTGAGTTAATTGAGAAAAGGATTGGGTCCACTGATTTCAATGGAAGCAGCATTTGACCCTGAAAATGTAGCAGCATATGGCATTGCCACTAGGGAAAAAGGGGACCTGTGGGCAACCTCAGCACTTTTGCTCCTTGTTTTGGTGGCAAATGTGAACATTGTTAAGGCAACACTATGGAGCTCGGTGGGTAGGGGTCAGTTAGTGGGGCCTCAGAGGAGGCATTTTTCCTCATGTCTTTCTAGCTTTAAGTTACATATTTTGATGGGAATCAATAGTGTGTGAAGGAAAACTGGAAAATTGAGAGGGAACAGGCAGCTAATGTGAATGTCAGGATGACTAACTGGAAAGTCAGATGGAAGCACAAACTACTCTCTGTGGTTAGTGATCAGCTCACTGTCTGTGTTTCCTGTTGTGCACTGAATTAATTATTACTATTAGTTACTATTTGTGTTAGCATAGTGCTAGCAGCCCTAGTCCTGGACCAGAACCCCATTGTGCTAGGCTCTGTACAAACACAGAACAAAAAGATAGTTGCTGCCCCAAAGAGCTTATAATCTAAGTAATTGCATCAGTCTCTTATGGGCTCATTTCAAGAATTTGGTTATGAGCCATAAATCCCACACCAGTCTGGGACTTTGCAGTTTCTTCTTCGTTGTGCAGTTGTATTCTGCCACAATGCTCTTGTTTTTCCATCTCCATGACTGAACTCTTAGGGGAAGTGGTAGAACATTCTTAGGGGAAGGTTCTTGGCTCTGGAATTCACTTCTCCTTGCAGTGTACTAGAATCAGAATCTGGTGATTTTATTTGATTGTTTCTTTTTTTTAGAAACCGGGCAAGATGCATTTGTTTCTCTGTGTTTTCTTGTTTTCTGCTGCTTCTTCTTCAATTGAGCATGTAGCCAAAGAGGTATTTATCTTGTCAGTGGGTGGAGGAGACAGAGGCAGTTTTGCTGAAACTTTGCAATAGCTTTTTTAATTAATTTTTTGTAGCATTCACCTGGATATTACAATGATGGGTATGATAGACATGAATTAAATAATTAGTTCCCTTTGGCCAGCTGAGGTCCCATCGAAACAATGCGCATCACAATGACGCCTGCTACTGCTTCAAGGTATAGTCTGGAAGAGCTGCAGGCATCTTCACTCACTCTGGTTGACACACGGCTTAATCCTGCAGCTGCTCAGAAATCTCATTGAAGCCATTTGCAGTTCTACACATGG